GACTTTTCCCTATTAAATCCATATCTTCATCCGAAAATATAAAGACTTTAAAAACTCTACATGACTTGTTGTTATCATTTCATTCATTTCATAATATGTGCCGATTTGTCATCATCTAGTTTCCTGATATGAAAGTGGTAAATAATGCCAATTTTTTGGAGGGGGTAAGCTAAATTTTCCACTTTTTGTCGAAAATTTTAAAGCCAAAAGACAACAAGGAAATATTGAGTTTCTGCGAGTTTTCTAACCAAGGAGTATTGTTTTAAGAGTTCTTCAAAGTCTTCCATCTTCAAACTAACTTTAGTTTTCTTTTCTACTTGCTATATCAGAGACTCCTCTGGTTTGGATGCCAAACGCAAAGGGGAGTTTACCCCAAAAATAGCAGAGAAGCAAGGCTTGACCTCTTTGCAAACTGTCCAAAATGTCTGCTTCTCGGTGTATCACATTTAAGACTTTGTTGACAACAGTTCATATCGAAAAAACTTCAAGTTGTTGTTGACTTCTAGGCTTGAATTTTCAACTTGCTTTTGGTGTTAGGTTGGTACAAGTAATCGTCGAGAAGAGTGTATTAAGTGATTTTACTTGATTGTGAAATATTTCAAAATATTTCAATATACTTTTATCTCTTATATTATTAAATTTTTTGTAATATTTTGCAAATTTTTTTGCAATATTTCAAAATTTTTTTTGAATTTTTTAAAATTATTTTTTTCAAAATATTTCATATTAATTACATTAATTTTTGAAATATTTTAACATCACAAATTCTTTTGCAATATTTCATATTTATTTTTTGCTGATGTAGTTACTCTAATTATTATTTCAATTTGTTATTTTAATTATTTATGATCATATTACATATTATCTTATAAGTATTAATCCTTAATACTGTATTTTCCCTATAATAAGCTATCACTAAAAATAAACTACCACCTCTTTTGCTTAAAAAACTTAAAAATATTTTTTATCCTAAAATAAGCTACCTAAATATAATTACTATTAGTTGCTATATATAAATATATATATATAATAATTAATAGTAATTAATTAAAATTCTTAAAAACCTATTATACTTAAAAATAAGCTATCTTTGATTTTTAAGCTCAAAATTGCCAAAAAAAAAGTAGCTTATTTTGGAGAAAATATAGTATTAGCTGTATTAATTAACTATTGCCAAGATAATTCTGTTTAACTATTACTAAAAATCAATCTGTATAATAATATATATTAACATATTTATTTGTTACTAGTACAAAAACCAATAAAGGTAGATTTTGTATATAGTATATTACTAAACTCAAATTGTTCTTATTTTATATAGCACAACTATATTTTAATTATTTATTATATATTAATTATTTGTCACAAATATTTATTACATATTATACAAGTTATTTTTTATTATATTACTTATTTGTTACTATATATATTAAGTATTGTGTAACTGATAAATATATGTATCATAGAAGTATGATAAATAAGCATATAAATATATGTTAAATAACCATATTTGAGCTTTTTAACATCACTAATTATTTGTTATAAGTTATTAAATATTTAACAATTATTAAAAAATTGTATATTTTTTGCTGTCCTATACTGTACAAAGAATAATTTGTTTTTTAATGCATGAAGCTAGAACATGCCCAAAACTTAGTAAAATCTATAGGGATAAAAAAATACTGTATACAAAAAATTACACAAAATTTTAAAAAAATTTACTGTGAAGAATACAATAAATCATATACTGTATATTTAGAAATGTCTCTAAACCCCATATATGTAGAAGCTTTTGCTAGCATATGTATTTGTCAAGAGCGAAGCAATTTTATTACCGAAATTACGTTTTAATAGTAATCACGTTGTATATCATATGATATCATGTGATTAACCAATCAGAATTATAAAAAACATAAATTCGACCAATCAGAATTAGCAATTTTTGTACTACCTCAGAAAATTTAAGTTAACTTCAGAAAACATTACGACATATGCAAGTATATTTTTTTAGAATAGTATTGCCTTTAAAAATTTTGCCACAATTAATACGTACGTAGAGGTTTTGATTTATATGTTACGAAATTTTGGAGATTTTGTTAATGGCGTATTTTGTGTAATCTATGTAAAATTTCGATATACCATGCGGCCTCTAATTGAAGTTGTAGAGCTTGTTGAGACGAATTTCTTTATTTATTTCGTTTCAAAAAACAAAATTTTAATTTAATAACATACCAACAGTGTCAGAATCGTGTTTAATAAAAGTTGGTGGATCACTCAGTCTCTACCAACTTCATACGTATAAAATTCACGTTTTTACTAATTTACCCCCAGGTTTCTGATTGGCTAGATTTGTTTACATGTCATCTTCTTTTTAAAATATGACGCCTTGGCTAGGGTTAGCAATAGAGTTAGAAGGTGCCCCTATACTAAAATTTTGCAAGGAATTTTTTTTATTAGTGCACAAAAGATGGTTTCTTAGGCGAAATTTTGAGATTAATGTGATTTTTCAAAAATCAAGTGATTGTTTTTAATTTTCACGTTACACCTGATCCTGTCCTCTGATTGGCCAGAATCGTGAAACCTGGGGTAAAATTAGTAAATGCAAAATTCACATACCAGATACAGTACTTTTACGTAATACGTACGTACGTAAAACAAAATGAATTTCCTAAAAAGTAAATTAAGCTTAGAACACAAAATAACAACTTCGTCACAAGTGTTTACGTAAAAACTTGTACGTACGTACGTACGTACGTACGCATAAGTAACTCATGTGACTATCATTTATTTGTTAACACTATTATTTTAACAAAGAAAAAAAAAAAAAGAAATGGGTACAATTGTTAATGATACCGATTCAACAGAAAGTAAGAGCAATAACCTCACGAATAGTAATAATGACAAATCAAGAGAAACTGAAGATCTTTATTCTGATAAAATTCGGGATGGACAGTGGTTTTGGAATACGAATACCGAACAGATTTTTTCACAGGATCAAATAGTAGCAGTTGGTCATGCTTCAGCAAAATCGGTTGTTCCACTTGAACTTTTACGATATATATATTTACAACCTCACGATCGGATATACGATCCTAAAACACATACTATATCCTATTTGCAGACAAGAACTTATCTGCCCGTAAAATCTTTACCACCAAGAGAAAAAAAGAGGGTACTAGTTACAGGTGGTGCTGGCTTTGTTGGTTCACATTTAGTAGATCGACTAATGTTAATGGGTCATGAAGTAATTGTAATCGATAACTTCTTCACTGGTCGTAAAAACAATGTTGGCCATTGGATTGGACACCCAAACTTTGAACTTATTCGTCATGATGTAGTTGATCCTTTCTTAATTGAAGTTGATCAAATTTATCATTTGGCTTGTCCTGCTTCTCCTCCTCATTATCAATATAATCCGATCAAGACTGTAAAAACTAGTGTAATGGGTACAATTAATATGCTTGGTCTTGCTAAACGAGTCAAGGCTCGTTTTTTATTAACTTCTACTTCAGGCATGTACTTCCTTCCTATAATTTCTTTTACATTTGTGTATTTGTTAATGAACTTTATACAATGATTGTCTCTTAGAGGTCTATGGTGACCCCGAAGAACATCCTCAAGCTGAAACTTACTGGGGCAATGTTAATCCAATTGGCCCAAGAGCATGTTATGATGAAGGAAAAAGAGTTGCTGAAACATTAACTTATGCTTATATGAATCAAGATTGTGTTGATGTTAGAGTCGCTCGCATTTTTAACACTTTTGGTCCTCGTATGAACGCAAATGATGGCCGTGTAGTGAGCAATTTTATCATGCAAGCGTTAAAAGGTGAAGACCTTACAATATATGGTGATGGTCTTCAAACTCGATCGTTTCAATATGTACACGATTTGGTGGATGGTTTAATTTTGTTGATGAATGCTGATTATAAAGAACCAATTAATCTGGGAAATCCTGATGAATATACGATACGTGAATTTGCAGAGTTGATTATAAGTGAGGTTAATAGTTCAAGTAAGATTAAAACTTTACCAGCTCCGAAGGATGATCCTAAAAAACGAAGACCAGATATTAGAAGAGCTGAACAAATTCTTGGATGGAAACCTAGATGGCCTGTTAAGCAAGGTATTGGAGAGACAGTTAAATATTTTCAAAGGCAGTTAGAAGCAGGACTCATATGAATCATCATATGAATCATTATATATGTAGTGATCGAATGTATAATAGTGCAGATTTCATATTAAAACATAGAAATTAAAAGATATCACAAGATAAATTTTCTAAATTTTTTATATTACATGTTTCATGTATTAAATAATCACTTCAATTTTTGTTACAATTATTGAAGCCCTTGTTGAATGAAGTCAAAATATTTAAATAAATACCAAAAAAAAAAAAAAAAGAAAAAAAATTTTTTTTTTTTATGATTTGACCTAATATAGTCATTATAAATAAGATCTATCAAACGTTCATTTCTTAGCACCCCATAGACTACCAAAAAAGCCGCCAAAACGACCTGATCCATCTGGTTTTCTGCCGGCACGCTGGGAGAGAGATGAAGGGAAATCAACATGGTTGAAGGCTATGTCAAAAAATAATGGTTTAGCAGGAATTGGTGTAAATTCCGGCGGGAAATTAATTAATTGCGGATTATTCATTGTTAAATTTGATGGATATTGGTTAAGACGTTCGTTCAAAGGTGACTGTAAAAAAAATTGAAATATTAAAATAAAATGTGTTAAGATTGACATCAACATATGAGTGCCGTCAAGGGAAACCCAAAATTCTGGCTTTCAATTATATTTTGTGTTCAGTTTATTTTCTGAGTGCCATCTAAGAAAAATCGGATTTCAATTATATTTTGTGATAAGTCATTACAAATATAATCGAAAGTCCGAAGATAGATTTACCCTAGACGACACTCAGAAAATAAACTGAACACAAAATATAATTGAAAGCCAGAATTTTGGTTTTCCCTTGACGGCAATCATATAAAGATATTAAAAATTAGGTTTTACCTCTTCAATGATTTCTTTAACGTCAGATTTAGACTTTTCATCGATAGTCAACTCGCCCAATTTTTTTGTTACATCAGAATCATCTGATCCACTATGTCGAAGATGCCACGTTGCACGTGCTTTACACCTATAGCTTCTAATAATATTTTCTAATTCTTCGACTTCCTTTAAGGTAACCACTAATATATCATCTTTATCAGGTACAGTTACTTGTGACAAAGCACTTCTTGCTTGAGAATTGTACTCTCTGGCACGTCCAAGTAGGGATATTGCTTCCCAATCTTTGTTTAAAATTTCGTAAGCAGATGCAACATATAAAGTCCTGAAAAAACAGATATCAATTTTTTTTTTTATCGACAAAGGATAAATTTTAATTATATAATACAAACCTCCAAGCTTTAAAATACCAAATCTTTGCATCAATTTCTTGAGACAAAGCTAAACTATCCTGTACCGAAGAAAGTTCTTTAATTTCGTTTAAACTCTGCATATAAATAAACATATATATATATGTGTGTATATAGAGGTTAAACTAATGATTTATAAAAATAATATTATTAGTCAATTACCTGTAACACATTATCGTATAATTTGACAATATCTTGATATTTTCCACAGATAAATCGAGCACCTTCCGAATGTTCTTGTTCTAATTTATGTCGAAGTGAATCAACAAGCATCAAATTTCGTTGAATTCTACGACTTAAGTAGTTATATGCTACATAATTATAAACGAAATTGAGATCCGAAGAAAATTGTTCGGATTTGGAAGATTTGACCTTTGCAGTCGCTTCCTATAAAGAAAATAAAGTAGCGATGAGTTAATGTGAACAGGAGAAATCAGCACAAGTATTTATCTTATCTTTTTACCATATCCTCTTTCACGGCATTTTTGGCGAACCTTTCTGCATCTCCATAAGCCTCAAGAAGAGAGTCAAACATTTCCATTTTCGTCGCCTCTTCTACATCTGCATCAGAAGCGTTTTCTAAATTTGTTGTTGCATCTTGAGCTTTCAAAATACAAATCGCTAAATCTGCATTTCTGAGTGGAACAGTATGACCTCGCCAAGTTATGGATGTAAGTGATGCTGCCTTTTCTTGACGCGTTTGAGCTAAAACGGACTAACAAGACTTTAATATTCAGATTACAAAAAGTTCATTGAATTACTTAAATATTAGATATATGTACTTCCACTTCGGCTTCTAATAAATCCAAGCCAACACCTTTATTTTTTCCGATAGTCATCTTTACGAGACCTTCTACGTCGGAAGCACTATCAGCACCTAACCTTAGTACGTAGGCACAGTAACGGATATTAGGATCAATATCATCAATTATTGATTGGCAAAGTGTCTCTTGATGAGCAGTTCCTGCAGCGGACAATTTTTCATATATCGTTCTATAATAATATGCACATAATAATATACAATGATATATATATATAAAGAAACAATTGAATTTTATTGTATGTATAAAATTATGAAATTAGAAAAAGGTAGTAATAAATAAACCAATAAATTATACCTTGCAGCAGCAAATTTATCTAAGGCAGCTTGCCATGATTGTCTCTCGAACAACAGGTAACCAGACATCAAAGCAGAATATGCCTTGAAAAATAATCTTCTAACGTTCAAAATTTTCCGATCGATCAAAATAAACATGTTTAACATCGAATGAAACCAACCTGAGCTTCCAAAACAGTCCGAGTATCGACTTTACCAGCTTCTCGTGAACACAAATTCTCTAGTTTTTCACCTAATTTTGCTGCTTTTTTCAATCTTTTAATTAAATGATGCTTTTTACGCGTATCACCACTAGATCGGGACTCTCTTTTCAATTCCATTGCATAACTCCAAGCACGTTCAACGTCAAATAATACAATATGCAAGAATCTGTATTTTATATAATATACATTAATTATATATGATAACAGAAATTTATTTTGTCTAAAATATGTTAATATATAATTATATAATAGTTACCTTACGTCATTGAGATCCGCCTCAGTTACCTCCCTTGCCTGAGTGAACTTACTACCTTTGCAGTGAACGAAATTCACCGATTCACGAAAGCGATGGACCCTTTTCGCGCAATATTGTCTAATTTTCAAATAAAAACATATTAAAAACAATCATTAAAACTTTGAATTCTTTGAAACGAAAAAAAAAAAATATCATTATACCTATAACGCGAGTAATCCTGATGTCGAAGGCCATAAGTATTCCGAGCTTCGTTTATAAGAGCCAGAACTGAATTTAAATACGTTAAGGGAATACTTCACGTACGAATCAAACATACAAGTAACAATGTAAGATAAGGATACTATCAAGGGAAAAAGTAGATCCTTGATCCTTTATGGGCTCGTCAATATCCATACTATTGGCCTAGAGTAAACTTGAAAAAAAATTTAAAATCTAACGTTAAAATTTTAACCCGGGTCTTCTTTGAACATTTGAATTATCACCAAATCTAGTTAGATGATATCATTTGTAATACCCAGTACAAGCGATTTTTCCAAACTTGTCCAATTTTAACTTAAAAATTATTTATCTTTCGTGAAGTGACTACAATTTCATTTTTTTTTACCTTTCTAAATGGCGGACTTTGTAAAGCTATCGATTTTTGGAACCGTATTCGAAGTTACGACAAGGTATTTACTCAGTCTAACTTTTTGTGATAAAGGTTGGTTTTATATTTATAATACTACTAATTACCCTTTGAGCTTAGATATGTGGATCTTCAGCCAGTTGGAATGGGAGCTTTTGGCTTGGTTTGGTAAGAGCTTTTCAGAAGTTTTGCAAAGTATTAACGCGTAATTAACATTAAAAATTTGAATCATACGCTTTTTTTAGTTCCGCAAAAGACCAACTAACCGGCACTAATGTCGCGATTAAAAAGATTATGAAACCTTTTAGTACACCTGTTCTTTCTAAAAGAACATACCGTGAACTAAAACTATTAAAACATTTGAAGCATGAGAATGTTGTATTTTATTTCCTCCTAATTTGTTTATTTTAAAGTTCAACCAGTAACAAAATTTTCCATTATCAGATTATTAGTTTGAGTGATATTTTTATCTCACCGTTAGAAGATATGTACGTTATAACCTTTGCATTAAATGAGTTTTGGTAAATTATCATAAATCTTATCAGTTAATTTTTTTATCTCAGATATTTCGTTACCGAGTTGTTAGGAACTGATTTACATCGACTATTAACATCTCGTCCGTTAGAGAAGCAATTTATTCAATACTTTTTATATCAAATCTTGGTGAGAATATCGTGTCATTGCTTATCAATTAATAAATAATTTATTAATAGAAATAAATATATAATATATATAATAGAGAGGTTTGAAATATGTGCATTCTGCTGGTGTTGTGCACCGAGATTTGGTTTGTTATCAAATTATTATTACCTTTAAGAAAAAAAAATTTTTTTTTATTGTTCAAATATTTTATTTTCTAAATGGATTATTTTCATAGAAACCTAGCAACATTTTAGTTAATGAAAATTGTGATTTGAAGGTATATGTATTATTTTATTGTTTTTAATAATTAAGTGACACATTATTCATTATGACTAAAAAAATATAAAATAATATATCGTAGATTTGTGACTTTGGCTTAGCTCGTGTTCAAGATCCTCAAATGACAGGATATGTCTCAACGAGATACTATAGAGCACCGGAAATCATGCTTACATGGCAAAAATATGATGTAGCAGGTAATTAATAATTAAGTATAGTTAGGATGTCTTTAAATGAATTTACGCATGCAAAATCAAAATAATAATCAAAAAGTCTCTTAAATTAGTCGATATCTGGAGTGCAGGTTGTATTTTTGCTGAAATGTTAGAGGGTAGACCACTGTTTCCTGGCAAAGACCGTAAGATTTTAATATTAATATAAGTTTGTATATTTTTGATTTTTATTGTTGTTATTGTGGTTTAATATAACTTTGTTTGTATTTAGATGTTCATCAATTTTCCATCATCACCGAGTTACTTGGCACACCGTCAGATGACGTCATTCAAACAATCGGTAGCGAAAACGTAAGTTTTTTTTTGGCATTACAACATTTGAACATTTGACTTTTTATGAAAATAACATTTTCTTTCGTAATTCAGACACTACGATTTGTACAATCCTTGCAAAAACGTGAAAAAGTACCATTCTCTCAGAAGTTTACCAATGCAGAACCTGAAGGTAATCATATACTTTTCGTCTTGGTAAAATTTTTGAACAATTTATGTTTACTTTTGAAATTTCATGTAGCGTTGGATTTACTTGAAAGAATGCTTGTATTTGATCCGAGAAAGCGTATTACTGCTACAGAAGCTTTGGCGCACAAATATTTGGAACCTTACCACGATGAATCAGATGAACCTGCGGCAAGTGAAACTTTCGATTGGTCTTTTGATGACACAGACCTTCCTGTTGATGAATGGAAAGTGATGATGTACAAAGAGATTTTGGGTATTTACCAATTTGATAAGTTCTTCGGATATACATATTTAAAGCATACAATGAACAATATATTTTTATCAAATTTTTTTTTGATTATGCAGATTTCCATAATGTTGACGGACAAGGTTATAATATGGAAGGCACTAACGACGTTAATTATTAAATATATAAGTCATGACCGAGAAGCCACCAAAGTATTTAATTGGTAAAGTACATGAGATAAATTATTAAGCTTGCTATTATTTATTATCTATTTTTGACTTATGTACGCTATTCATATATATTACCGATCAGTCGTTTTTTAACTAAATAAGATACATAAGGTTAATTTAAAGTTTTTAAAATTGAAAATTTTATAAATTAATAATTTGCAAGTCTTGATACATTCGCCGTAAATTTACACGAGTTTTTTAGCTTCGAAAAATCCTTTCAAATGTCGCATTTGCCATAAACATGTAACTCCAAGAACCACCAATTGAACTATAGTCCAAAAAACCACTCGTGAATTAGTAATTTCAGATTGATCACGGAATTCAGCCTCACGTTCCTATTATATATACATGAAATGAGAATCATCATAATAACGACAGTAAAGACATACATAAACTTGAGTCATTTATACATACGCGTTGGTAGCTTTGTTCCCTACGAATATCAGCAACACGACTATTCAATTCGCTAACTCTTTGAGCGAGATCTAAATTATAAATTCGTAAAATTTAAAACCTAATAGTAGCAATTATATTGTGAAAGCAAATTATAGGAAAAAATAATTTACCACTAAAATGTTCTTTGTCATTTTCTTCACTTGTTGCTTCACCAATAACTATATCCAAATGTAATTTCTTTTTGTTTGTTTATAAATGAGAAATTGAAAGCAATTTATTCAAAATAATAATCACAGAAAAAAAAACCCCAATAATATACTAACCGTTTGACTATTTGAAAACCAAGAACTTGAATTGGTTGATAAACAAATAGCATGATCTCCAGACTCAGCAGCTGTAAAGGTAAACCGACCACGACTTGGTCCTTTTTGGTTTATTATACGATGGATATGAGGTAATTCCTTTAAATTGTTAACGTTTTTAATCGACAATTATTATATCAACTTTCAGTAGAAAAAGTTATATTAGAACGGATTTAAATAATCACCTCTACGGTAATTTGAATACCAAGTTTTGGATTTTCAATATATTGCTGCTGTGTTTCAGACCACTCTTCTGCTTTATAAGTACCTAATATTAAGTAATTAATTAGAAATAATTAATGAGCATACTTTAAGAAGCTTCCACCTTCAGTAGTTAACATCAAAAATACTAACCAACAACCAGAGTATCTCTCGGTAGTTCTTCAATAAAACATTTTTGTTCTGTACCTTCCAAATAGAAATATAAAGCCGTACATGATTCTAAAAGTGAAGTAACTACCAATAAAATAACTATTAAAAAGATTTGACACTTCATTTTGCCACTTTCCCTTCTGCTGTGAAGTATGCAAAGTAGAACAGTTTATCGATAAAATTTTGTTTTTACAATAATAACATATG